CGTACGTGCCGTTTGCCAAAAAATAGACGTGAAATCAAGTCGATAAATTGTGTTTCGATCAGCAGTCTTCGTGTTTCTTCTACAAATCAGTTAATACAACTTTTTGTACTTTTCAAGTCATTTTATGGAAATGAGCAGTGGCCGTTTGTGGAATTCCCAGTTAATTTCTATTGGGCAAAAGTGTTAAATTGGACCTGATTCAATCTCTATTCCTTGCTATAATGATTCGATCGAGCCTCTTTGGACATTCAGAACTGCAATTTCACCCAGTTTAAGTTATGTGTTCTGCAGACTTGAATCGAGTCTGTATAGTGACGAGTCGAAATATAGAGTATTATAAGGACATTGACGCGCATACATGTAATGAGAATTTAGCAAGATCAAAGTACGTTGTGTTGCGCGGTATGCTTTAAGTGCGTGATTGTTACTAAATTCTCACAACGTGGCTTACTACAGAAACGAGCGCGTGAATCAAATTTGGAACGCTAAATGGCAGATCAAAACTTGACAATGGCAGAACACTTTTGATTGTGCTCGGACATTTTGTCTGACCACTTTTTTTGTCTAATTTCACGCACTGTAGTCACTTGTTGGAGTTTTACCTGCTCCCACTTTGGTAGTCTTGCATTTTTGGCTGTATTTTGCCCGTGCCATTTCTCAAGGTGTATTCTGCCCTTGCACTTTGGCTGTACCGGTACTGCGCCTTTTCGCATCAAAATCTATAATTGTTCCTTATTGAAAGTTCTACAGATGTTTGATTGCTATTACAATGTACAATGTAGCTGGACAAATTTATGATTTTTCACTGTTGTTTTATTACCAGACTACTATTTATATGGAAACTATTTCATTTATTTTGTGGTCTAATAAAAAGCACTTGCAATTAGAACTTCTCAAACCCGTTAGCTTACATGTACCTGTAAGCTCTTTATTTTAGTAATTTTGACCTCAAGTCTTTAGCTTGGCTGAACTAACTGCGGCAGCACTGCACCGACGCCAAATTACCTCTCCACCAGCCATTAAAACTCAGAAGAAGTGTAGGGTTGTTGCATCAACCGGCAGTAGCCTATGATGTCTGATGATGATGATGACATGTACATGTACTTGGTTACACATGGCATAGTCGGCAGGATTAGTCGGCATAGTAAGGCCAAACAAATATGGTAGTTCTGCTTCCAGTTTTAAACCTAAGTACCCTGACAGCCCCTACCCTATTTTTTTTTGGGGGGGGGGGGGTTGAAATGAGGAAAACCTGTAAACTATCTATCCCTATCTTTTACCCTTTACTACCTCCATATGATTGTACACAAAACAAATTGCCAAGAAAAAGAAAATCCCTGCCTACCTACCCTATTTTTTTCAAATGCCATGTAATCAGAAGCAGAAGTTTTTTCCTTTTTTTTTGGCCTATATTTTTTTTTGACCGCTTGGTTAAAAAATATGAGCGTTGCTGTTGAAACCCCTCAGCCAGAGTCAAGTTACCATCGGGAAACCATTAACCTTTAACTCAACATGGTGATCTTGACCTTTGACCCCAAAACCAATCCCAACCTGCCTACTCCCAAGGGCAACCCCCTACCAAAGTTAAACACCAAAATCTCATTTCTAACTCATGCTATCATCCGGAAACCATTTATCTTTGACTCACCACGGTGACCTTGACCTTTGACCTTTTGACCCCCAAACCAATCCCAACTTGCCTACTCCCAAGGGCAACCTCCTACCAAAGTTAGACACCAAAATCTCACTTCCAACTGAAGTTATCATCCGGAAACCATTTACCTTTAACTCACCACGGTGACCTTGATCTTTGACTTTTTGACCTCAAAACCAATCCCAACTTGCCTACTCCTAAGGGCAACCCCCTATCGAAGTTACAATCCCAAACAACATTTCTAACTCAAGTTATCATCCGGAAACTAAGCTGCCCGGACAGACAGACATACGGCCCTACAGACGGGCGTTCCAGCCAGATGGACTTCCGGGGTACCTCCATTGTTGTCCCATTGTCCCTATTTCTAAAGATTTCGTTGCCGGGTACCCTTTTTTCTAAAGATTTTATTTGTGGGGTACCTCGAACAAAGGACGGGTACTCCACAAGTGGTCCCTGGTCAGAACGGACCTACGGCCCGATGGACGGAGTAGGCGATGACAATACCCCTCGAGCCTCTCGGCTGAGGGATAATCAACGTTGTGGTCAGCATAAACTCCCGTTGCTAGGGAAACCGATTCATGGCTTCAATGAATTGGTGAAGATTTATCGAAGCACTGAAATAATTGGCTTTGAGCTCTTTCATGCAAAATAACACTTTCATTAGACACCAAACACTGCACATTTTAACAAAGAACCAATCTTGAATAAGTTGGCGACCACAAGCACGAACGAAAGAGACACAGAAAATAACGATGGTGGTCAAACGGTTTCTGTTTGGCTTGATAAGCCTTCATCTGATGACGGATTTCACTGGTGTTAATGGGATGTGTAAGACCCTTGGACATGGATGGGCATGTCCTCCTACTTGGAACCAGTGGGGTGGCAAATGCTACAAAGCCATCACTGAGCCTCTGACATGGTCCGAGGCAAAAGATGAGTGCATCAAGATGGGAGGTGTCTTGGTCGTGCCACAGTCTCAGGAGGGAACTGATTTCCTCCTGCAACTACTGCCACCCCGGTTCTGGATCAATTGCAATGATATCGAGACAGAAGGTTCGTTGAAATATTCTGATTTCTTTTCTTCTCACATTGTTCAGATCCTCAGTGAAAAAAAAGGCAATTTGTTTAGTGTTTGTGAATCAATCAGTGTAGAAAATTGCAAAAACAGACTTCTTTCTTTCCGAAAGTCATGGTTGTTAAACCTTTACTACCTGTACTACCCTAAACCACCCTGCCTATTACTCTCTGTACCACCTACCGTAAACTGCTAGAGTACTGGTTTCATGGATTCTGCAGTAAATAATACAATGTAATACAATGTAATACAATGTAGTACATGTGCAAATATATGTGCTAAACTTCCACCTTTGAATTCTTCATTGTATACATGTAGGTACTTGGAAGTGTCAGGATGGCACCCAGGAGGTGGAATACAGGAATTGGCACAAGGCTAACGATCAGCCTAATAATGAAGCTGGTAAAGAGAACTGCGCTGAAGTCTACATCCCATCTGGAGAATGGAACGATGTGAGATGTTCTCGGCAATTCCCTGCAATCTGCAAAGCTGCTACCTATATCTCACCATGAACACAGACTGGTAAACCCCATATTTTGATTAGAACCTTTAACATTTCATGTCATACCTGGCTACAAACTGATGGTATTTTGATACATTTGAAAATGACCAATGACATTAAGAAAAGAGGTATGCATAAATGAGTACAGAAATATACGCAAGTGATAACATACGTGTGGATACAAATGTGAAACGTATTCTGAACTAAAGGCATTACTGCGCCAGGGACACATTTGAGACAGATGGCAAATATAGGCTCTATTCTAACCACTGTTCAAAACACTACACTGTAGGTACTGGTAGCATACATGTGGTCAACTCAATATGAATAATTAAATAACATGTAAATATTTCAAGTAATTTTGCAAATCATTTTGAGGAATGTGGTTTCTTTGTTTATGCTTTTAATAATTTTATTATGTGTATGTTGGATGATGTTAGCGTAAAAGTTTAAATGGACAGAAATGTTGCTTGTATATTTCTTTTTTTAAATGGAAAATTTTAATGCTAATAGAATTAGATTTATTTAAGAAAATGATATGTATTGTGTTCACATAGCATAACTGGAAAACTGCTTACCCACAGAAATGCTGAAATAAAGTCTACATGTGAGTTACTTGATCCTGGTGATATATTGAGCATTTGGCGCATAGTATACGTACGTGGAACTCACATTTTCCTTAAAGGGAATGTACAACATTGGCTTTTGCTGCAATTTTCAGAAATAAGTGCATTTGGAGGATTTATATGTTATAGCAAATATTGTTAAACTGACTTGTTTCACGTTGTTGGCTTGTAGATGCTGGAAAAACCAAGAAAACCAATTATATTCTTGTAGTCTGGTTCCCTGACCCCACTTAAGATGAAATGGAGCAATTTACAGACTTTGGGGAATTGTGCAGTCAGAGTATCAATTTAGCTGGCTTGTACCCATTCACAGGTGAGTAATCAATTGCAAAGAAGATGTGGAATAACTAAATATAAGAAATATGGAGTAGTTTTTGAAAATAGCCAGTTTTCTCCAGCGCTGGTCGGCCGACCAGCATTGGAAAAATACAATTTTTCTTGAAAATGTCAGCCCACCAGCAGCCACAATTTTACAGGATGCTTTAGACTGTCATTCCCTAACAATCCAGTAAGGTATTTCGTGATAAGTGGATCATTTCGTTTTTTTGATGTTTGCAAATGTTGTATCTTCCCTTTAATCTGCACAAACCAATGGCTTTTTGCTTGAACGAAAGGTCTCCCAACTCTCCCTTTGTGACTGGTCGGTCGAGTGGGTACATGTGCACTGCAGACTACCGGTACATAAATGCAAATCACATTTTTGCCTCAAGAGCAAGGTTTTCTGAGGATCGAAACATCAGCCCTCTCATTTTTCATTGTATATTTCAGGTCAGTCCTGTTGGTAAGCAGCTTACGGATTTTGTTTCAAATATTATGTTAGTTTTTAAGACAATGTACATTTTTGTAATTTAGTTTATGTAAATTAGAAAGACAAACAATGGAACATAATGATAATGGCAAATATGGAATAGTATTGAAGATGCAGATTTTTTTTCCTGTTTATGTAATTATACAGACCTGGAATTGTCCAAGGAATAACACTAAAAAGAAACTGTGATCATAGGGAAAGAAAAGGTTTATCATTTGTTTAATTTGAAGGTGCATGTAATTGATGCTAACATGGAAGCGAAGTTATGGACATAATGTGAATAGTAACTAATGAAATCAGTTTTAAGCTGAATGCAGAATTTTTATGGGACTTACCAATTTTGAGGGCGGACTCTAAGACAACCAATGAGGAAGCATGATAGCCGGCTGCAAGTAACTCCTGACCAATCACAGAGATGATTACAAAGGGACTCTTGTCTAGTTTCATAGATTGCAGCTGCCGATAGGTGGGTTCAAATGTATCTGAAAGGACAACAGCCAATAGCAAGTAATCATTACACTATTCACATTCCAGTCCTTCTGATTTGAAAATCACAGGTGTGTGGAAAAAAGGCACACCTGGATTTTTTAGGCGTGTGGTTTTTCTAGGTGTGTGATTTTGTGGTCCAGGGAAATTCAGGCGTGCAATTATTCACACTTCTCGGGAAGCTTTTAGGCGTGCGATGGTGTGGGGGTGCGATCGCAAGCTTTAAATCAGAAGGACTGCATTCTTTTATTCATTTTGAAGGGAATATGTACTTGATTTATTGAATTAGTTAATGATAAATATTGATAAGTTTGAACAAAGACATTTACTAAAGTTGGATTTTATGCAGTTCAAAGTCCCGTTCAAGTTAATTTCTGTTCATCAACCTTGAACCTGGTCATTTTCCCTTTGCGATTCGTTTGAAGTTTATAATTAAATTAATTTATTAATTAACACAGAATTTTTCAGAAATACAGTGATATGGATATGTTATAAACGAGAGTTAGAAATTAATGCACATGATCATAAGTGTTTTAATGCTGATGAAAGGAAACCATTTTGTAAAATTTTACTTTAAATAAAAAAAGTTATCTTTTACACGTACATGTTGTAACTGCAAGCGATCTCTTATTAAATTTGAGAAACCTTCAAGTTGATAACTAAATTTTCAATCCTAAGTTTGTATTAATTATGTTTTTTTATTGCTCTAATTAAATTTGAGAAACCTTCAAGTTGATAACTAAATTTTGAATCGTAAGTTTGTATTAATTATGTTTTCTTATTGCTCTAATTTCGTTCTCTCCTTCTTTTATTCCATTTTTTTCTTGTTTCTTTTTACCCTTTTTTTTCGGGGGGGGGGGGGGTGTTGCAAAAGAAAATACACACCTATGATCATGCTGTAAATTTGCAATTTGTGAATAAAAAACTTAGTATCACGAAACAGAGGAATTTTCCAAGCTGCGTGAGCCATTCTACAGTATTGTTCAAATTCTAATGGCTCACATACATGTATGAAGTCAAAAACGTGAAAATCTGCTAATCACCCTGATCACCCGTCCCCCCCCCAAAAAAAATATTTACATAACAAATAAATTCCCCAATTTGATTACTCAATACGCATAAAAAAATCAACAAGTGCTGTACTTAGATTCTTAAAATGTTAGGAACTCTTAAAAAATTTTCCCAAGCAGGACTAATCAATCTAGTCCAACACAATTCGAGGGCAATAACCTGAACTACGACCACGTCACAGCATGCAATCCATCACGTTGTCTTTGGTTGAGTGCTCTGCACTCTATTACTCTCTATGGTAATTCATCAACCATTCCTCAACCAAGTCTTAAGAGTTGAGTTTTGTCAGGTCATGTCTGAACCTGGGCATAAAGCGAGACCATAATGCACTAGCAGGCCCTAATGAGCGAGGGTATCAGTCAGGGATGATGGCACAAAAAAGTTGACAAGAAAAAACAGGGCCGAGAAAATATTGTTAAAGAAATGGAAAAAAGCTATGCAAAGAGATGAAACCAGTTAAAAGAAAAGTATACGTGTGTACACATGCATCACATACAATTTGGCTGATACCTGTACTGTTTTGGCTGGTTACCAGTCAGTCAGTGATAAGAGAAAGAACTACGGTTAACCACAGTTCAACTAATTTCACTCAAAGGACGGATGGTTGGACCATGGAGGAAGGTTCTTATTCCTCCATGGTTGGACCTACTCTACCGTAGTCAACCATTTGGAATCAGACCACAGGGCACCGGTTGCGTCACTGGTTACCAATAGCCATGTCCATCATAATACAGAGCAGGAAGCCATGATCAAGATGTTTGGTGTGACGTGTTGACTATCATTTGACTGGAGGCATTCACACATTGCTATTAGTGTGCAGGCATAAGTTGGAATGTATGTCACAAATGATATCAAGCACTTGTTGACTAGTGGTCCTCGCCACCCATCTTGGACCAGTCAAAATTACATCATCGAGTGGACAAAAATTATTATGGTCAAATTATAAATATTAAATGGCCAAGACTGGTTACCTTTGAGTGGTGACTTGAGCGCGGCCTCAGCCAATCCGGCAAGTAGCTGAAGACTCTTAGGGTCTTGTGCTAGACCTGAGGAGAAGGCAGCTAACGCATCAGCATGACGACCCAGGCATTGTAGAGCTGTACCTTGACGGTAGTAGGCCTAAAAGTAAAAACAAACAAAAACAGATTTGTCAACTAATTGTATTGCTACAACTATAGCACTTTTTTACGGCATTTCTTGACAGCTACATGTACCGGTAGTGCTGTAACTGTCTGAGTAAAGGCCGGTTCCAACCTCATCCCCAGTGGTTACTTTACTTTCAACCTCATTTCGAATGGTAACCCCTGGGTAGGAAACTTGAGTCCTGTACCCTGATTCACTACAGAAAAGCAAGCAATGGATTATTATTGTATAGGCCTGCTTGGTGTATTATATATTTTAACGTTCGATGTGAATTATCATGTCCATCCCACCACAAAAACAATCTCCCTTTTCCAATTTGCTTAGAATAATATGAAATGTGATACTGCATATATTGGCTGGATAAGATTGTGACATTTAAACTTTGAAGAAAATCGTGCGTTTCGGATCTCACGCCGCGATAAATTGATTCTGTTTTTACCCAAGACACCAACTACAAAAACAAACACTGATGTGAAGCATAGCCAGGCACCAGACTTCTCCTAATTTGCAATACGTGTGCAACTGTTTTGAATATGCAAAGAACAGGTAGTAGTGGGAGTGTACTGCTTGACTCCATGTGAACGAGGTTGCGGCTGGTTCATATTTCACGTGAATGTGAATACAAAGTGAATTTGACATCATTTTACTACAAATTTTGCCAGGGTCAAAATGTGTTCAACTTTTGCGAATTTGCAGCACAAATACTTGCTGTGACATCATAAATTTGCATTCGTATGCACCTTTGTATTCACGTCCTGTCCCCCCAGCTGAGTTCTGGACAAATAATTATATATAGGCCACACAGTGACCTCTTCTGAAAAGTCTTGTACTATTTTCCCAAATATTTAAACTAGTTGGCATTTTGAATAAAAAGGTCCCAAACAGGTATCAGTACCAGTATCTACAGAAATTTTAACCGTATTAAAAAAAAACCACCAAAATCTAAATTATACACATGTGCCAATGAAGTATTGCATTTCAACTTTGCAACAATAATGAATGACAGGTGTTATTTCTGCAATCAGTGGTGTGACTGTCCCTTTAGCATTTTTATTTCTACACTTTGTGAATGAAATGTCAGATTGTTTTTACGGCGCAATCACAGCACTTCAGGGAACACAATCCATCCGACGTCCTTTCCTTTTATTCCTCCGCACACACACAGACAAAAAAAAATTGTTATTTTAGCCGGGGGGGCAAAATGAACAAAATGTCACAAAAGACACGTTTGGTGTTACGGCCTAAATTCTGTCATACAATGCCTTGAACAATGCCCTGCATGAATAAAGATGAAATGCAAAAAAAAAAAAAATGCTTTCTGGCTTTCAAAACAAAGTTTCTTCAACTCGAATTGACATTAAAAGCTAGACAATTCAGATTGTAAAACAATTCTACAATTTGTTTTTGAATTCCTAAGACGCACTCTGTGAACTCAAGTTGAAACCCAAGACTAATGTTTCTCGGCAGGCTGTAATATAAAACTGCCGACTGGCTGACTAAGTTTCTTGATGCAAGTTGCTCTTCATACAAATGCAAGCAGTGTTGGGTGTTTGTCCACGGAAGTTTAGATGAGGACAACTTTGAACCAGATCAATGCACTGAATGGTTGACATTCATCCGTGGCTTTTAGTGAGCTCTTTAGTTATACTATGAAAACACATACTCGGTCTTTGGCAAATGGAATGGTCGCGTTTCTGAGTCATTCAGCATTTCAAATTTCCTTTAAGCTGCCGTACAATGTACAACGCACATTTCAGGGGTGATATGGGGGGAAGGGGGGGGGGGGGCAACAAAAAGTCAACGAAATAATCTGCTGAGGTTTTGAGGCCAAAAGGCACCCCTTAAAATACACATTTGTTTTGTTCTTTATAATTCAATCAGGGGCAGATCCAGGAATTTTTGCAGGGGGTTGGGGTTATCATCAGCAAAATATTCTGAAATGTAGACAGGTTTTTTCTTCTCCAGACACTTGGCCTCCGAAAATACATGTAAATAGGGGTGTGTGTGTTGGGGGGGGGGGGGGCGCCTCTGTCCATATTTTGTGCACAGGCAGACATTATTACAAGTATTTTTTTTGGGGGGGGGGGTATCAGGTGTCAGAAAATAATCATTTTGTAAAGTCCTTTGGCACAACTGGCTCTATATTTAGGAAGCAGATTGAAAACAAGACTATTGGGAATCTTCTAGTAAAGCTGGTCCTAGAGCGGAGACAATTCTATTCCATTGATTCTGAGTTGCAGCAACTGCAAGTTTTTTCATACATGTGGCCTACACAAAAAAATGCTGTTTTCTTGAAGAGTATAACTTATAAGACTAATATCCACTGAGCTGAAACTTCAACAGGTTAGATTTTGAACGCTTTTCTTTGGATTTTGAGTAGCGTCATTGTTAATGAAGAAAATGCATGAAAAAGCAAATGCTCCTACCGGTATTGAAATGTAACAAGAGAACTTCAAGTGGGATCAAGACAGATTCAAAAGAAATGGGAAAAATAGGGACAATAGCTTGACTGTCCTCAAGAGTTCAGTGGCTTCACAGCAGGTAACAGTGAGAAAGGCGACCAATAGAAAAGGCAAAGCGTTTGACCTCGGAGCAATTCAAGTGAGTAAGGACGGCATTCATTGATCTGGAACTGTAGGTATCCAATTTTCTGGACAATAGATCGATGACCAGGATAAGAGGAATTCTAAAGAATTCAATGGCAAAAAATGCAGTGGATTTGTAAGACTAGTGTGAAAAGGTATCTGAACGAAATTTGGTCAATTAATTGGCTCTTACTGATTGATAAATGGCTGCCAAACAGGAGCTGATGAGCACAGACAAGTTGTGCTGAGAAAAACCCAGACAACTAGGAAAAACAACGAAATCTGACATTGTTACTTACTCGTTTTGCAGCTGAATTACTACACTTGTGACTTTTTTTTGGTGCTAAGTTGCACCACAAGAATTGGACAATATTACACAGAGGTCTAAGAGACAATTACAGGTGAATTTAGTATTTAAAACTACGTTTTAATTATTCTCCATCAATAGTTTTGCTAACAGGACAAAAAAATGTACTTAAATGTGTTTAAAAAAAGCAATGTAACCGATACATGTACAAAATGTGCTTGTGATGTCAACTTCACTGTGTCAACTACAGTTCATTGTTTGTTTCTGTAATTTGCCGAAAGAGCCTTTGTTTTCGTTACAATCCCCCCCTTTTTTTATTAGACTTTTGTTCATGGCATTTGTACACGTGTTCTTTTCGATTAGCATTTTGGGCACTTGTGTCTTTATGCCTTTATGCTAGTTTTTTACCATGTCCGTTGTAAACTTACCTTCTTTTTAGGCTGCCATTTCATCATTCTTAGCCAGCGATCATGGATAACAAGTCTTTATCCTTCAGCCTGTCACCTTGTCAAGTATTTCCTAGTCGTGCTCATTACTTCTTCCTCATTGCTGCATAATTATCTCTTTGAGTGTTTTTGTCTCTTGACACTTATCTCATCTCTGAGGAAAAGTGATAGCATCATAACATCCTTAATGGCAGACACTGCTCCATTGCGGTGACTAAGAAATTTTATCAACTTACAAAACTTGTTGGGTGAATTCTTGCGAGCTTGAAGTTACGGTAGGTGAGTCAAAGGATTGCAGAAGAAGCATCAGTACAGTGAGAAAATTCTCCGGAGTTGAAATTCCAAAGGATCAAAACAAGGAACTCCGGTAAGTCATCAAACCACACTAAGGTTCTGAAGTCACACGCAAACAATGAAGAAATTCAAAGGTAAGCAAAGCACCTGGAAACTTTAGTCTCATCTCTGGTGGGAATTATGTCCCGATGAGACACTTTACCATAGATAAATGATTTATTAGCTGGCAACATATTGCAAGACACCCAAAAAGTTTAATGTCCTCCGGGTTGGATGTATAACATACTGTCAAAACATGAAATCCACATTCGCTGTTTTCCCGAGACGCGGCAAATGTTTTCCCTTAAATCCAGCAAACATCTTGCTTGTCGTCCGTTTGCAGTAAACCTACATCATGACAGGCGGGTGGACCATCAGAAGCCCCGAGCGTATAGGCACCGTCATAAATCCTCCGCCGATTTTAATGACATGCGATGCACGTGTGCTTCATCCATGGCGGTGACTCTCTGCACTCTGTAAATCCATTACATGAAGACTTCGGAACACTTTAACCGGTCAACAAAATTTCTGATGTCGGGAGTAAAAGAACATGAAGACCTTCTAGTCCTGAAGATACTGGTTTTTTTTCTGGTGACGTCTCAAAGAAACATGGGCTCTGCCATTCAGATTTTTTATTCTACCGTCCTTGAACAAATCTCTTGAAAATCCCTCACTTACAGAAGTGTTTCTGATTTAGTGAGCGCTAACAATATAAAGTACAGTGACTTCTTAACAGGCACGTAAGCAAATGTTCTATTGATACCAGCAACTTCTCAAGAACGAACTACTTCCAAATGGTGAAAGAAGATTTTTTTAATCATCAATCTTTATCAAATTGATGACACAATTTCATCCTGCAGAAATCAACTCCTCCAACAGTTTTATGTGCAAGTGACAGTTTGTACCCTTTAAAGAAAAGCTCCTTAACTGTTTCTGCAAAACTATAGGTTGTTTTTCTTGCCAGAAGATGCAATGGGGTGTAGTTCCATGATATAAACAGGTAGACTTCACCAACTCGACTTGCTGCATGATGCGCCAAAAACAATAGTCAATATTGTTTTTTTCTCGTCAGATCTTTAGATCCTTTCTTGGTACTAAGTGGAGCTTTGACAAAAACTCTCCCAACCGTGAAGATAACCTTTTCCAAAATGAAACTTCAAACTCAAAAGGAGGCAAAATTGATGTCAAAAAGACACCTGACATCGCCACTTTGTGACTACACACAGAGAAAGGCATCACAAGAGTATTTTCACCAGCGCAAATCCAGATCAACACTTCCCTGTTGCAACAGAAGTTTTCTTAAAA